CTCTGTAAGTCCAAATAGGCCTTATTATAGTCATGTAAATCAGTCTTTTATAATTGATTGGAAGGTTAGAGCGTTTGTCTAGTAAGTGTTTGAGTAGTCGGAAACATCGAGCTCTTTCTTGTCATTTCAGTCTGGTATGAGGATTCCAAGTTAGACGTTTGTCCAGATGGAGTCCTAGGTAATTTTTTAAAAATTAAATTTCAATCCTGTAACATCAAGCCTCAATTAAAGAATTGACTTAATCGTTATTGGAACAAAGTCTTTTGTTACAAAACCAATAATAAGTATATGATTGAGTAAGTAGTTTATTGTTGAAATTATTGTCAGGATTTCTAGTCAAAATATCTTTCGTTTATCTTTATTTATTGATTCTGGTTTATGTAAAAACTGGAGATAAAATAAAATAAATTCTTTCATCGGCGTTACTATCCGCCTTTTACTTTAAAAATGGTGGCCGAAAAACCTGCGTTGCTATAGACTGTAGCGCCTAAACGAATGTGCCGATTTTAATGAAACTTCGCTAAAGTCTTCTTCTCCATGCCCTTTAAATTTATCTATATGACATACTTCAACGAAAAAAAGCTGGAAAAAAAGTTACGAATGATGGTAAAATTAGATTCCGAATAACACATAATGTATACGCTTATTTGTTGATATTTTGAGATGTTTCAAAGGTATTTAAATTTCAAATTTTAATAAGTTATTGGTAGTAATAATGAGACTATTATAAAGTTATTATTTAGTTTGGAGGACTCCGTTACTAGCCACATGAAGGCCCTATCACAGGTTACCGAAGGTTCTATCCTCCAGCTGCTCCTGACTTCCTCTCCACACATGTTCTCCTGGTAGCTGCGCGACATGTTTATTGCCATAGATCCTCAGGGTGGGTCTGGGCAGGCAAAATGGTGGATGAGAGTGCGCCTTGAGGTTGGAGTAGCATGACAAAGATTATACGGACCACGGATTAATATTGTATATTGTTAAACGTCGGGAATATATATATATGTATATATATATATATATATATATATATATATATATATATATATATATATATATATATATATATATATATATTTATGACACCTTGAAAGGGAAGATCTGACAAAGTTGAAAAATGGGTGTGTTTTAAGCGATTACGCGTTACAGGTGTTGGGGATTTCGGATTTTTCCGTTGAGATGTGATGAATTTTTCCATCAGTTGAATAGTACAACTTTTAAATGTGGCTCGCGATAGAGTAGGTTCTGATGAGAATCGAAGTAACTGCCTAACCGAGATTTCTAGACAAATTACTCAAGAATTCACAACTTTGGTTCTACTCAATATTTTGTTTTCATTTAAAGCCTATATTTAAGGTAAAACAAACCTAAATATAATGTCAAAAGTCCACCATTAGCCATTTCCAAGCTTATCCCTGACAAAATTTCGTTGGATAATGCGGACATCCAGACAGACAAAAAATCTTTTAAAAGTGGGTTTGGTATTTATATAGATGAGCTTTAACCTATAAACATATGTTTATTATCAACACTAACCGAGATCTCTAGACAAATTACCCAAGAATTCATAACTTTAGTTATACTCAATATTTTGTTTTCATTTAAAGCCTATGTTTTAAGTCATGCAAACCTTAATATAATGTCAACATTTCAAAAGTCTACAATAAGCCATTGCTGAGCTTACCCCTGACAAAATTTCGTTTCAATGCGGACATACAGACAGACATAAAATCTTTTAAAAGTGGATTTGGTGTCTGTAATGTATGGAACGGAAACATATCATAAAACAGGTTCATTCTATTCAATGTACAGACAAAAGCTTTATTTTAGTTATATAGATAATAGTGTTTAATTTTATTTATGCATGTAAATTCATTTATGTGAATATGTTCAACCATAAAAATTATTTTCGGTCTGTCAGACACTAATATAGATACATCTAAAAACATAAATTAATTTTTCTTACAAATATGCTTAAGTTAAATTTAGTAATGCAGTAACTGAAATGAAAATTTTTATTTATTTCCATCCTTCATTAATAATGGGAACTAAAAATTACATCCCTAAACTTAAAAGTTGAAACATGTCATAAACAAAACTGTTGGGTTATTTTCATGATGAACTGGAAAGCAGAAAGAGCTTTTGTTTGGAAAAAACGAAACGAAAAACAGATCAAACAGCAACTGGACTAGTGGCAAACGGGTGAACTAAATAAAAACAACTGTTGTTATCCGTTCGGAAGAACAGTTCATTTGTTTGAGATCAAGAACTGTTCTTTTCAAACGTTTGGCTTTTTCTTCCCCACCCCTATATGCAGGCGGAATGACGAATTTCGATAGGGAGGAAATTCCAGAAATTGACAGAGCGAGCGATAAATCAATCAAAATAACTTTAAATATAATATCAAAAGAAATAAGTTTAAAAAAGAGTTCCATAATTCCAAGTCATTATTTTACAAAGATATGGGTAAGTAGTTGACTGTTAACATTATAAGGATGAAAAAATATTGTCATGATTTGTAGTCAGAAATTTCTTTAGTGAGTTAGCCGACGCTTCGACCTAAATCTGTGTGTCATCGTCGGGGCTATCTTTTGCAGGTCTATCAACAGCTCACTCAGGCAATAGATCAGAGTAAGCTCTTGTTTCCACTTAAAAAACAAAGCCCCAATGACGACGATTTGGGTCGAAACGTTGACTAATTCCTTAAAGAAATTTTTTACTGCAATTCCTGACGATATTTCTTCATCCTTTTTTCCAGCTTCTTTTCGTTGAAGTATGTTATATGGATAAATTTAAAGGTCATGAAGAAGAAGACTTTAGCCAAATTTCATTGAAATCGGTACATTCGCTTAGGCGCTACAGTATATAGCAACGCAGGTTTTGCGGCCATCATTTTGAAAGTAAACGATGGATAGTAATTGCGATGGAGGAGGATCATCCTCGGGTGACCCCTAATTTCAAATCCAAATTTGAAAAAAATCGGTGGAGTAGTTTCGGAAAAAATTCACGCGTAAAACCTCAAATTTTGGGATGGGTTAAAAAAATTCAAAAACCTCAAGTTTTTTAATATTTTGTTGGATTACAATTGTTGATTATTGAAAATAATAAACCAAAATTACTGTTGTTGTTCATTTTATTATTTTATCTAGCCTGATCAAGGACTGATAAAAGACCGAAACCAGTTGCGCAAAGTGAGAAAAATAAAGAATTTTACAAGAAGACGTCTTTTTTTTTTTTTTTTTTTTTTTTAATATTTATTTATATGATATTTACAACTGTATACAAAAAATACATCTAGTAAATTCGCACATGGATATAATGACATGAAACACATGTTGAGAAACTACCCATTGGTAGCACTCTAATAATATGTCTATATTAGGAGATCACGTGGCCATCTTTTCAGATGCCTCGAAGGGTTATCAGGAATAGATGAGGAAGCAAGATTAGAAACGAGAGGGTTAAGATGGTTATGAAGTTTATTATGGAAGGACAAATATCTGGATTTGGCCAAATGTGATACATAAGGAACATTAAGGTCATGATGGAAGATTTTATTTGTAACAAAGTAAGGAGCGTTGAGGATTTTACGAAGGATTTTGGATTGGATACATGAGGAATTTGAAGGATTGGTGGAGCCCCATAGCTCAACTCCGTAAGTCCAAATAGGTCTTATTATAGTCATGTAAATCAGTCTTTTATAATTGATTGGAAGGTTAGAGCGTTTGTCTAGTAAGTGTTTGAGTAGTCGGAAACATCGAGCTCTTTCTTGTCGTTTCAGTCTGGTATGAGGATTCCAAGTTAGACGTTTGTCCAGATGGAGTCCTAGGTAATTTTTAAAAAATAAAATTTCAATCCTGTAACATCAAGCCTCAATTAAAGAATTGACTTAATCGTTACTGGAACAAAGTCTTTTGTTACAAAACCAATAATAAGTATATGATTGAGTAAGTAGTTTATTGTTGAAATTATTGTCAGGATTTCTAGTCAAAATATCTTTAGTTTATTTTTATTTATTGATTCTGGTGTTCCTCAAGGGAGATTCCTCGGTCCTATCCTTTATACAGTCTGTACAGCTGACATTCCAACCCACCCTCACACTGTCATCACCACATATATTGATGCCACGTGCATCCTATCTGTTAATAATGACCCTTTAATTGTATCCCAAACCCTTCAATCCCACATCACAAGTCTTGAAAAATGGAGGATTAAAATAAATTCCAATAAATCCCATCAAATTGCCTTTACCCTTCATCGTGAACTTACAACTTCTTGTCCTACAATATCCTGCAATGATATTCCACTTGTTCCTGTTGGACAAATCCGCTACCTAGGACTCCACTTGGATAAACGTCTCACTTGTAATCCGTATACCAGACTGAAACGAACTAACGTTAGTAGATGATATATCAAGAAGACGAAATGTTGAACGTTTCCATCATTTACAGTATACAGGTACGATTTTTAGTATTTGAAAATTTTTGATCCATACGTTCAACGAAACTCGTTATAATTTGGTTTTTGACACTATTTTTTTCTTTTTCGCCTCCTTAACACGACGTCGCGTTAAGGTACAGTTTTGAATTATAGCCTATTAGAGGATGAAATACTGAACAATTTCCTGACTTACAGTATGCAAGCACGATTTATAGTTTCTGATTTAGTTTAATCCATATGTAAAAATATTTAATTAATCGACTCTAGCCGATTTTACCCGAATATCGAACGAAATCTGACGGACCAATCTAATTCACTCTCCACAAAAAATAAAATTTCAATGACCCAACTTCATCCGGTTGTTAGCCTTCTAAAATTGAATCTCGGGACCGATCATGACGGACATCTTTACACTTCTATTTTAGTAATAATACAATAAGTAACTAATAATATGATTATAATACATTGACAGCAATTACATAACCTTCTCATATCCTGTTCCAACGGATACAGATTTCAAATGTTGATCTGATCCATTGAGCTCAGTCCATTCAAGGTCTCTAGGCTTTTCAGTGATGGAGCGACGGAACGCACCTGTATTCCTGTCGGCGATATTGACAATATTTATTTGTAGTTCCGAGGCACAGTTGGTAAGTTCTCGTAATCACCATAAAATATAAAAATCTGGTGCGCGCAACACACAGCTTTCACTTACCGATCTACTTTGAATAGAAATTATTTTCTGGTAATGCTGGGCTATTATAAAAAATTTTGAAGTGCATTTTAAACGGAGCTAAAGCTTAAAGCTTACAGATAACAAGTCATTAAGACCATTACAATTACAATATGTCTATTAAATATATCGACGACAAGCAATAAAAAACTTGTCACTCCATCTGCTTTTATAAACCACAGAATGACTAACTCCAATTTCAACATTTTTGAGTGATGTCATTTTAGTGATATTTTTAGTTGAAAAAGTTATCTATGCAGATAATGAGTAAATTGATTCCAGAGGTATGATTGCAGAGGTGTTTGGAGTGTTGAAATATAGAACTGAGAATATTTTAAATTTATCCAAATTTTCACCTCTTCAGGGAAAAAAAACTAGATACCATATCTTTCCTCCTTGTTGTCCGATCTTAACATTTTATTTTTGTTTTTTTAGGAAATTCCATAAACTTTTAAAAAACCATAACAATATCCGCAAAAAAAGTATACTTTTTGAGTTATTCGGAATTTAATATTAACATCCCTCGTAACTTTTTTTGCAGCTTCTTTTCGTTGAAGAATGTTATGTAAATAAATTTAAAGGATGTCGAGAAAATGACTTTAGCGAAGTTTCATTGAAATCGGTACATTCGTTTAGGCGCTACAGTCTGTAGGAACGCAGGTTTTTCTGCATTTTTATTTTTTTTTCTCCTCTATTAATTTATCAAAGTCTTTCAAAAAATATATGTAGCATTTTTTCGTAACTCTGAATAATGGGAAATGGTTAACTTTTTAAAATAAACCATATTAAAGGTACTTTAGAGCAAGACATATATGAACATTGGGCATTTAAGCCCTGTAAAGTGACATCAACGTGGATAAGACCTAATTGATATTAAAGACCACTTAATTATACAATGATACACCGAGTTTAATCAAAATCGTTAGAACCATTTTTGAGAAAATTGTAAAAATGTGTTTCAGCGTTCATATAAAGTGGCACTTCCGGTTAGCCGATTTTAACGAAAAAGTTGCTGTGACATCCGGCCCATATACAAACCTTAAATACTTAATATCAATTTCGTACTACTTTTCGTTTATGAGTTAGACTGTTAACACACACACACAGACCATTTTGCGACACTTGGTTATTTGGACTCAGGGGACCTCAAAACTCAGATTCGAAAATTTTCACGATCGCAATACTTACTCTTACTATATATTACATATATACGTAAGTAAAAGTAAAAATCATGTCAACAAAAATGTATGATGTGGAGGTATCTATTTCATTTTTTCACTAACTTGTTTTTTTAATTTTAAATAATATATCTCAGAAATAGATCTTAAAAAAGTAAATAAATAGTAACATCTCCGAATTTTGAGTTATTACTTTTCAAGATACGAATGGTCCAAGAATCGAATTTTGGAAACTATAATTCGCAGACAATTTTGTTTTGTGAAGAAATAGAAAAAAAATATGGAAATAAGTAGATCCTATGTATTATATAAGGAAGGAATTAAAATTGTTTTCTTGGTCGATCACAACATTCCATTTAACATACTGGACGAAAATATTTGTACGAATTGCGTTGATAGGACCTATTTTTAAACGCTGACTGGAAAGATACAAAAAGTAATAAAGACAAAATAATGCCCCGATCATAGGAATTTCTAAATTATTAAAAAAAACGTCTGTCAAGTAAGGTCAGTATAGCTTCCTCACCTTTTCCGTTGTATATTACAAGGTATACAATTTTTCTTATGAGAATAAAATCTCTGAGAGAAGCAAAATCCGAATAGCCGATTACAGTTACCCTTCAACATTCAACAAAAGAGTGTCGTATTTGAAGATTCCATACTTGATTATGCTTAGTAAAAAAAAACAAAAAAAAAATGTATACTGAACATGAATTTCAATACTGTTAGTGCAAAAGGTCTTATGTAAAAATTTATTTATTGTTTTACAAGAGTGCATAAAAACTCATTATATCCTTATGCTAGATTAGAATAATTTCATTTTTTATTGTCATCTGGTATTTTCCATAGTAGCAGACCACTTATATCAGTTGCAGACTACAAAGTGTCACCTTTAATACACATAGAATTAAAGTTGAAAATTTGTACATACGAACTTTTGCTCTAATAATAGTGATACACACTACCGGATCCAGATTTAATTTTGGGGGAAGGGCTTCAGCCCAAAAGATTTTATATATATAACGATAATTAATTTGAAAAAAATCCACTTCAAATTATTTCCAAACAATTATACATATAAAGTAACATTAAATTCATAGTTATAAAGAAGAATAAATAAAAGGTGAATCAAATTATTGGACTAAACATTTTTTTTTTTTTTATCATTAGTAATATGCTAAAAAAATAGCATTACTTTAGCAACACATTAAAAAATCAAAACAAAAGATAAACCTTTTGCAATAGCAAATCTGAAAAAAAACTAGAGACCATATCTTTGCTCCTAATTGTCCGATTTTAACGATTTTTTTTTAGGAAATTCCGTTAACTTTTAAAAAACCATATAATACAATATTCACAAAAATGTGTATACTTCTTGAGTTATTCGGAATTTTACCATCCCACGTAACTTTTTATTGAGCTTCTTTTCGTTGAAGTATGTTATATAGAAAAATTTAAAGGGCGTAGAGAAAATGACTTTAGCGAAGTTTCATTAAAATCGGTACATTCGTTTAGGCGCTGCAGTCTATAGCAACGCACGTTTTTCGGCCGCCATTTTGAAACAAGCAGGCGAATAGTAATGTCGTTGAAGGAGGATGATCCTCGGATGACTTCTGATTTTATATCCAAATTCGAAAAATATCGGTCCAGTAGTTTCGAAAAAATGCGCCGACGGCGGACTAGTAGTGTATATATATGAGAAAGTGGTGAACAGAATTCAATAAAATTGACACTACATTATTTTTTCACCAAAGTCTACCTTTTATCTAATTTTGAGCAAAATCGAACGTGCCCTTTCTGGAATATTGGCATATCTAAAAATATACGTTTGCGCGTGCGTGAGCGGAAGTGCTGGATGGAATTCAATAAAATTGATATGGGACCATCTAGGCACCAATCAGAATAATCCCTGAAAATTTCATGATAATCTGATGAACGGTACTAGGAGATATGCCCGTCACATCGATTTGACTACAGACAGACAGACACCGAACCAAATTTGATCCTTGATGTCTGAAACGTAAAACGCGAGTGGAAATTTTCGATTCTGAGCAAAAATTTTTTTTTTAATTTCTCGCACGAACACACTGCTTCCCTACCTTTGGTAGTGAGGAAGCAATAAAATGTAAGAACAAACAAATACCTTTAAGAAATAATAACACGTCTATAGAGAGTAAATAAATAAAAACTCCTAACAGGTATCGTGTAGTTTATAAGGCCCTATATCTCTGCAAAATTTCGTGTGTATAGATGCAAGAGTATTGAAGTTATCACACCTTTTTGTGATTTTCGAAAAAAAATCAAGGGGTCTTAGGTCAAATTTGTAGAAATTTTTTTTTATTTTTCGATTGCAATGAAAATTCGAATCGAGGGTCTTTCGGACTGCGAACTCTGTTTCTATTGAAAAAAATGTATAAACACACTTCACTCCTTCCGTCAATACAAATCGTTTAAATTATACATATTGCTAATGGATTTTTACGATTTATTACACTTTATATCAACAGTTGAAATACATTTTTACAAATTTCTCAAAAATTGCTCTAACGATTTTGATTAAACTCGTTGTATTATTGTATAATTAAGTGGTCTTTAATATCATTTAGGTCTTATCACCATTCATGTTACTTTACAGGACTTAAATGTTGGACATGTCTTTCTCTAAAGTACGTTTAATTTGGATTATTTTAAATAATTAGCCATCTATCATAATTAACTAAATATAACATTTGTGTGTTGCGTGCACCAGATTTTTTTTGTTTTGTAATTTAGTAATCTTGGTAATTTAGTAATCTTGGTAATTTAGTAATCTTTTTAATTATCATGGGCACAATAAAAAAAAAAAAGCATACTTTTTGATTTATTTGCAAATCAAGTTTCTTTTCCTTCATAACATTTTTCCAGAAATTTCGGGGGGATACGAATATTTTTCGCATGTGAAGGAGAAGAATATATTCTAAATGAGTGTTCAATCGTTGGATTTGATGAAGAATTGATGAATTTATGACATACCGAAAAAGAAAAACACGTTTTAGAAATAATATATATGATTAAAAACTGTAATATTAGTAAACAAATTCTGGTACGCCCATCACACGACTCTTCGTAGCAGAAATTTAGGATTTTCAGTTTAAGGGGAAGTGAAATTAAAAATTATAGACGCTATATTTATTTACAAAGGAAGGAGATGGTCCGGGGTGGTGGTGATAAATAGGCTAAATAGTGGTAAAACTATTTTTATTAAAAGCCAACGTTTCGACCCGACTTTTCAGATCTTCTTCTAGGCCAGAACGGACAAGATACAAAAAGATAGAGAATCGTGGAAGTTACATAATATTTAGACAAAAAATTATAAACAATGTGAATAAGCTTATTAAAATTAAAAACAGTAAGTATATTAAAATATAAACAGAGTAAGACTAAGTAACGAGATCCTAAACTGAAGTAAATAGATGCTAACAATTGTAGTGTAATATATAATATATGCAAATGTGAATATACTTCTACAGATCTACGGGAGAGATTGAAAAAGAAGGAAAAAGAATATAATAGACATATAGGAATGTTGAGAAAAAAAAGAAAACCAAAAATAAATAAATAAGTATATAAAATAAAAATAGGGACTTACAGGTGTATTCAGCTAGAAGTTTCACATAGAACTGGAAAATCGAGGTAAGGGCAGGTATTGGGAATTCGCTGACTTGTTTGGGTAATAGGGAAAAATCTAGAAAATCACAGTATCTAAAATTTGAAGATATGGATGGAAACAAACAAGATACAAATTCTCCATTATCCAAACAAGCCAGCGAATTCCCCATTACCTGTCCTTACCCCGATTTTCCAGTTCTATGTGAAACTCCTAACTGAACAGACTTGTAAGTCTCTATTTTTATTCTTCTAATTTTATTTACTTATTTATTTATTTTTTTGATTTCCTTTTTTCTTTTCTTTCTCCACATTCCTTTATCCCTATTATTTCATATTATATCCCTTTTCTTTCAAATATTACACTACAACAATTGTTAGCATCTATTTACTTCAGTTTAGGATCTTGTTACTTAGCTTACTCTGTTTATATTTTAATGTACTTACTGTTTATAATTTTAATAAGCTTATTCACATTGTTTATAATTTTTTGTCTAAATATTATGTAACTTCCACAATTCTCTATCTTTTTGTATCTTGTCTGTTCTAGCCCTGAAGAAGACCTGCAAAGTCGGGTCGAAACGTTGGATTTTAATAAAATAGTTTTGCCACTATTTAGCCTATTTATGACCGCCACCCCGGACAACCTCCTTTCTTTATAATGCAACGGTCAACTATTAAATATTCAATATATTAATTTACATTTCAATGTAGGTTTTTTACTTTCACTTACGTACATATGTAATATATAGTAAGGGTAAGTATTGCGATCGTGAAAATTTTGGAATCTCAGTTTTCAACGGAAATACATGTTTTGAGGTCCCCTGAGTTCAAATAACCAAGTGTCGCAAAATGGTCTGTGTGTGTGTGTTAACAGTCTAGCTCATAAACGAAAAGTAGTACGAAACTGATATTAAGTATTTAAGGTTTGTATATGGGCCGGATGTGACAGCAACTTTTTCGTTAAAATCGGCTAACCGGAAGTGCCACTTTATATGAACGCTGAAACACATTTTACAATTTTCTCAAAAACGACTCTAACGATTTTGATCAAACTCGGTGTATCATTGTATAATTAAGTGGTCTTTAATATCATTTAGGTCTTATCCCCGTTGATGTCACTTTACAGGGCTTAAATGCCCAATGTTCATATATGTCTTCCTCTAAAGTACCTTTAATATGGTTTATTTTAAAAAGTTAACCATTTCGCATTATTCAGAGTTACGAAAAAATGCTACATATAACTTTTGAAAGAATTCGATAAATTAATAAAGGAGAAAAAAAATAAAAATGCAGAAAAACCTGGTTCCTACAGACTGTAGCGCCTAAACGAATGTACCGATTTCAATGAAACTTCGCTAAAGTCATTTTCTCGATACCCTTTAAATTTATCTATATAACATACTTCAACGAAAAGAAGCTGGAAATGGTTTATGGAATTTCCTAAAAAACAAAAACAAAAAAAAAATCGTTGAAATCGGACAATTAGGAGGAAAGATATGGTCTCTAGTTTTTTTCCCTGAAGAGGTGAAAATTTGGATAAATTTAAAATATATTTTTTTAATTGTTGAGACTAAAAAAACCTTTTTTTCTACAGATATTTAATAAAGTGTCTTTCCTAAGAACATCTTTCATAAGAAAGTAGTACCTAAATTTATACTTTTATTCTCAGTTCTATATTTCAACACTGCAATCACCACCTCTGGAATCAACTTACTCATTGTCTGCATAGATAACTTTTTCAACTAAAAATATCACTAAAATGACATCACTCAAAAATGTTGAAATTGGAGTTAGTCATTCTGTGGTTTATAAAATCAGATATAGTGAATTGATTTTTATTGCCTGTCTTCCGTATATTAAATAGACATTTTGTAATTATAATGGTCTTAATGACTTGTTATCTGTAAGCTTTAAGCTATAGCTTCGTTTAAAATGCACTTCAAATAATTTTATAATAGCCCAGCATCGCCAGAAAATAATTTCTATTCAAAGTAGATAGGTAAGTGAAAGTTGTGTATTGCGCGCACCAGATTTTTTAATTTTTTAAATACCCCTTATGTAAACAAAACGTTTATTATATTCTATACAATTAACTATTAAATAATACCTGCAATAGCATTTGTAAGAACTGCCTATGTATATGTACATAATATTGTCGGACTCCGTACTATATTAAGCTCATGTTAAGTATGGAAGCCTATTTTAATCTTTCGTGCGAGCTCGCATCCCTTTGGTTCCTCCATACTCCATACTATTATCCGTTGCGATCTCTTACTTCTCCTTCAGCTAATCATCCATTCACTTCTTTCATACTTCCTCTTGTTCGCAGGGGAAGGTCGACATCGGCCTCAAAGAGATCCTGCGGTGCGAGGACAGCGGCACCGAAGACATCACCTTCAGCACGACGAGGCTGACCAGGGTGAGCAGGACAACTGTCAACTACTTCACCAACTTCACCCTGAAGGTCCCGCTCGACGACAATCTATCGGTAAGTCTATTTACATCTTACCTGTATAATGGTCCAATCATTCCATTTGATGAACATTTGACGAAAGATATGGAGCACCAAAAAAAAAAAAAAACGCTGCAAATTATTTCACAATGGTTCATTATCTCCAAACAATTATACATCTAAAGTAACATTACATTCCAAGTTACAAAGAAAAATAAACAAAAGGTGATTCCAATTATTGGACTAAACTTTTTTTTTAATCATTAGTAATATGCTAAAAAAAAAATAGCATTACTTCAGTAACACATTCAAAATTTAAAAACCAAACCAAGGATATAACATTTGGAGTAGAACATATAAAAAAAACCGGAGACCATATCTTTGCTCCTAATTGTCCGATTTTAACAATTTTTTTTTTAGAAAATTTCGTAAACTTTTAAAAAACCATATACAATATCAACAAAAAAGTAAAAACTTTTCGAGTTATTCGGAATTTAATTTTACCATCCCTCGTAACTTTTTTTCCAGCTTCTTTTCGTTGAAGTATGTTATATAGATAAATTTAAAGGGCGTCGAGAAAATGACTTTAGCGAAGTTTCATTGAAATCTGTACATTCGTTTAGGAGCTACAGTCTATAGCAACGCAGGTTTTTCGGCCGCCATTTTGAAAGTAAAAGGCGGAGAGTAATGTCGATGAAGGAGGATCATCCTCGGGTGACCTCTGATTTTATATCAAAATTTGAAAAAAATCGGTCCAGTAGTTTCGGAGAAAATGCGCGGACGGCGGACGGACAAAAAAATTTTTATTCGTTTTTCGAATTCTGCGCGTCCTGAAACGTGAAACCTCAAATTTTGAATTTTTTGGTCGATCACAATGTTTCATTATTGAAAATAATAAACCAATAATTTTACTCACAAAAAGTACTATTCTCTTTCTTATTCTCCTTGACTTCTCCAAAGCCTTTGACTCAGTAGACCACAAAATTCTCCTAACCAAGCTTAAAAATATTTCATTTTCAACTAATATCCTTAATTGGTTTCAATCCTTCCTTACTGGCCGCTCCCAGTAACCCCCAATCAGAATCTTTACCCTTGTCCAGAGGTATTCCACAAGGCTCCTCCTTATCTACCACCCTTTTTTCCATATACCCTCTATCCTAGACTGTCAATACCATCTGTACCAGATTTAACTCTCCTTCAATCCGACCGAATCCTCTGACGCCATCCAAAAATTACAGGAAGATATAAACGGAATTTGTGCCTGGGAAAACCACAACAGGATTACTCTAAACGACAAGAAGACGAAAGCTATTGTGATCGGAACCCCCTCACTCCTCAAATCCTTACAGACACTCCCCAATCTTTTCCTGAACAACTTAGCTATCTCATTCCATACTACCGTAAAAAACCTTGGTCTTACCTTTGATCAAATCCTCTCCTGGAAAACACACATCTCCCACATTTCTGTCGTACTATCTCTACCCTGAAACAGTCTAACCGATTTATATCTCCTTCCATATAAATCCCGTCAACTCCTGATTTCCTCCCTTGTGTTCCCCCACTTCGACTATGGCTGTCTGGTGTACGGCGGACTCTCGGGAGAATTCGAGGCCAAACTTAAACGCATAATGAACTGCGCAATACGTTTTGTTTTCGGAATCTCAAGAGATACGCATATAACTCAGTATTACACCAAGTTGAAGTGGCTCTATCCATCCAACCTTGCTACCTTTCTATACCAAGCCATTAGAACTCAGTAAATATTCTATTTAATCCCATCCCACTAGATCTCATACCTCTGACCTCTATTCCTCTCCCCACCAAACTGCTGCGTTTGACAAATCTTTTATAATCTAAGCCGTCTCCTTCTGGAATACAATCCCTCCCGATATCCGACATGTAGAATCAGTTTCCTCATTTAAATCTCTCCCTTTTAAGCACCTACTCCTTTCCCAACACGACTGATCATGGAATGTAGATAAGAGAACTTTTTAAAGTTCCCCCAGAAATGATTTTCTTTACTTATGTTATTTTATTTTCCCACGTTTGTATTATAAATACCTGTATGTTTTTAGTGTTATTGTTTTATTCTTTTAACAATATGTTAACCTTAATGAGAATTTTAAATATTTAATTTAATGTAGGGCCACATAGACATTTATTTTGTATCTAAAGGGACAACAGTCCCAGGATGATAAAAAAATATTTTCATTTTTAATAGAACAGTATATATAGTACATGCCGATGGTATTAATATGGTGGCGGGGCCAGAACTAGCATTGAAGGAGGCATTCACTTCTTTTGAAACAGCTGCTGGGAATTCGGTCTCACAGTAAATAAGCACAAAACTAACATATACACAACATTTTTAACCTCCTGCAGAAATAAAACGTTTCCTACCTTCGGTAGTGAGGGAGCAAAAAGCTATTTTTGATTAATTGAGAAAATCTAATTTTACCATCCCTTCTAACTTTTTTCCAGCTTCTTTTCGGTGAAGTATGTTGTTTAGATAAATTTAAAGAGCTTTAAATGAGGAGTACTTAGCCAAGTTACATCGAAATCGGTACATTCATTTATCGCAACAGTCAATAGCGACAAAGATTTTTCTGGCGCCATCTTGAAAATAAAGGGCAGATGGTAATACAGAGTTACGAGTGTCATCTTCGGGTGCCTTCGACATTGATACCGAATCTCAAAACAAACGGTCCAGTAGTTTCGAAGAAAAGCCGCGGACGGCGTGCAGACGGATTTTTTAATTTCATTTTTGGATTCTACGTTATCTTGAAATGTCAAGCGCAAATTTTGATAGAGAATAACTTTTTTTCTCTTGGTCCACTACAAAGGTTGATTATTGAAAATAATAAATAAAAAAAACTGATATATTGTATAAACATCTATATGTATATATATATATATATATATATATATATATTTTCTTTTCTTATATAGTATTATATTGTTCGTTTTTAATAATTATGCTGATAATGTTACAACTATAATTAATAATTTTTATACACAATATAAACTTCCGAGTCTTTTTTTTAATAGGGGTGTTAACGCCGCATACGCTCATTTCTTTATTTTTTTTAATTATTATTTTTTTTTCATCATTACCCCCTTTTAAGTGTTAATAATAAAAGGTTTATTTATTTTTTTTGGTAAAAACTGAGAGACAATTGTCTCAGAGATATATTTTGTGTATACGCTCCAGCCCGGCAGTAATACCCTGTCTTTAGGGATTAACACACCAAAATATTGCGATAATACTGCCAGGTCTTCAGTCTGGAAGTAACCTTTATTGACAATAGACCTGTAGTGGACGTCTACCCCCACCAGTCCAGACTCACTTCACCTCGACTCACCAGTCTAGCGCCATTTTCGAAGATCAGCTGTTGGGCGCAGCTGAGTAAACGATCGAGATCGATACCACCCCACCATCGATTACTTGACAGCTAGATATCGGTAAGTAACAGGTTAGAAGCAGAACCTCCAACTTGGCTTGTTTTGTTTTATATTCTCACCATCACAAAGACATTTGAACATTAATTAATTTTTGTTTCAGCTATAAATTAGTTTTATTTTTTTTGGACAGTTATTTTTTTTTCTCTTCTTTTCTCTATAATTCTTGAAGTTGAGTTTATTTATATTTTGTTATTGATGGTTAACTTTGTTTTATTTTCACTGGATATTGTATTTATCTTTTATTTTTCTCGTAACTTTCCAGTATTGTTTCATTTAAACTTTTGTATAAATTTATAAATCCTTTATCTCAATAAATTGTAAACATTCAAAAGGGGGAATTTTATTTTACATTTTTTTAGTTATTGAGGAATTTCTATTTTTTAATATTTTCTTACAGGTCTCATTTTATTCACTCTTTTTTTTTCCCTCTTTCCCAACATTTTTAATTTTACTCTAATTTTCCCCACATTTGAGGAAACTCACCGAGGAAAGATTTGTAGTACCTTTGAAGTACCCCTGGTCCCAACAGGGGAGATTCATCTCCCCCCCCCCCAAACTAGTATGAAAAGACTGAGTCTATGACAGCTACTCGTATATACTGTTTATATGTACTATAAATTATATATAGCGTAGAAATATAGTTTATATCTCTGGAACTACAAATAGTTTTAATCCTTTAACTGTTTCCTATAGGCGGTATCGGACTTACAAGCCTGGGGTAATGGCGGGTGGAGGCCGGGCTTCTTCACGCTGGACACTCCTCACCTCTGCATTGGTTGCAAGGAACTCAACCCCATTTGGTTCCACGAGATCATCAAGAACACCGGTCACGATGACTGTCCCATCCCACCGGTGAGTTCGCTTCAATGGATCAATGGTAACATAGCAATTCAAAGGTAACATAATCAATTCCAAAGCAGGACTTTACCTTCTTATAGGTACTAGCTGGACCGTGCGAAAAATCCGCACAGCATATTGTTATCAAATGCAAAATTAATAAGAAAATAAAATAATGCAACGTATCAAAAGATAAAGGAATCAAATGTTACTTTATCGATAAATATAATCGACAAAGAAAACAAAAATTAATTTAAATCTTCATTTTTCCAGCACTTACTAGACAAACGCTCTAAGCTCCCAGTCAATTACAAAAGACTCATATACATGACTACAATAAGACCTATTTGGACTTACGGAGTTGAGCTTTGGGGCTCCACTAAGCCATCGAATTCCTCTAGTATCCAATCCTTACAATCCAAAATCCTTCGTAAAATCCTCACAGCTCCTTACTTTGTCACAAACAAAATCATCCATAACGACCTTAATGTTCCTTATGTTTCTGACCTGGCCCAATCCAGATACCTTTCCTTCCATAACAAACTTCAGAACCATCCTAACCCTCTCGTTTCTCACCTTACTTCCTCTTCAATTCCTGATAACCCTCCGAGGCGTCTGAAAAGAAGATGGCCTCGAGATCTCCTTTTGTAAATACATTTTTAGAGTGCTAGTGGGTAGTTTCTCAACAAATGATTTCATGCTTTTATATTCTTTTGTTCACATTTACTAAATGTATTTTTACTTGTAATACAGTTGTAAATATCATCAATAAATAAAAAAAAAAAAAATCTTCATTTTTGTTTGGAACCAACATATTTACAAATTTCAATAAGCTGTATCTTTGTTAAAAATAGTCCGATTTCGAAGATTTTCTTTTCTTTCATAAATTGTTTGCCTGAATTTTCGGGATGATTGGACTATTTTGCCTGCCTTAAGGAGAAGGAAGCCTTCGAAATCGGTGGCTCAATCTTGAGATTTGGTGAAGAATTAACGATGATATGGCTTGCCGATCAAAAACACCATCGATAAATATTATAAACTCCTCTTGTCTCGATCATAGAGACCTCAAGTCGACGAAATAAGACATGTATTCAATGACAATACTACAATTAGTAAGGTTGTGTGGATGCGAACCCTATGCCTTGCGTTATCTCGAAAATTGCTGTATGCATCAAAATCTTCTAGATCCAATTTGTCCCGTATCGATCTACAGACCTACCAGTGTTCAGGTATTGAAGCCTAGCAAAATGTTTTTTATCGACTTTATTTATTTTAGAAAGAAGAACAAAAGTGGAGAACACGATTCGCTAACCCCCCGTGAAATTCTGAATCCAACGGTACCCATGGTATTTGAGCATGAAAGGAACTTATATTTGGTACAAAACCGATTTCGAGCCTTACTGTAATAATATATTTGGGGATGGGGATAATTCTCAGCTTATTTTTCAGTTTTTTTTCCCACCTGGATATGCTATATAAAGTAAAAATACGACGTCAAGAGACTTCCTTAAATTTTAGGTTCTGTATAATAGCTAATGTGAAGTGGTTGATAAGGTTGCGTTTATTTAAAATATTTCCCACTGTCCATTTTGTAGTAGATGGCCTCTAGTATTTACTCCTTAATGTGACATTGAATGAGGGAATGTAGGGTTGCACTATGAATTGCACTCAGTTATGCAGTGGACAAGTTGTTTATTGAAAAGTATCTAATCGATAAACAATCGAAAACGAAGGTACAGAACCAAGAAAGGAAGAAACCTGGAAAAGTGCCGGTAGGTGGCAGCAGCTGGAGAACAAACAAGAGCTCACTTGAGGACGGGACAGAAAGAAGTAAGGAGATTACCAGATAGCCCTGGAACCAGGGCCCAAAAATCGACCTGATCGCAGGCGAAGGTTTGATTGTAAATTACGAAAGTGTATGTTATTCTGAGTAAAAAGAACCTACCTTCTCTGTCGTTCCAGAGCCGCTGCTTTCAAAAATGGCGGCTGATTTAAAGAATATTACGCCAATAATTTGAGGATCGAAACGGGAAATCCATTGTGAAAAGTGTTTTTATTTGTTTAACTTGTATAAATGGGTTTAGACATATAAAAAAAAAATTGCTAACGCGGCCCACCAAGCAAATAATTTTTACAGCCGATAAAGTCAGATATTTTTGACATTTTTTTGTTTTTTAACCTATAACTTCTAAACGATGCACCAAAGCGAAAAAGTTACTATTTAATAAATTAAAGAACGTTTAATTTTGCGTCAAACGAGTATATAAACTTTATAATTTGGTTACGCGATTAGGTATAAAACCACAGTCAACCCGCGCTGATTTTTACCACATTTGTTAAAAACCGAATCAAATTACTATAAATGGTCCTAAGCTTGGAAATGATTTCCCTGAGAGGAAAGACTTTGTAGAGCATCAAATTTTACGTCCATCGAGTACCAACTATTTTAATTTAGATCATTTACTGTAAACAAAATCGGTAATCTATCGATAGTTAGATATTAGTAATGAAGGTAAACGCGATTATCGATATTTCAATAGTATGGGTGCCTACTCTACTGAGTAATTTTTGTTTAGAGTCTGGTACATTCGTTTAGGCACTACAGTCTACGGCGACAAAGGTTTTTCGGCCGCCATCTTGAAAAGAAAGGGCGGATAGTAATGTCGGGGTTGGAGGATCATCTTCGGATGACTTTTGACTTTGATTCCAAATCTGAAATTAAAGTGTCAAGTAGTCCAAGAGAAAAGCCACGGACGAAGACAAAATAAATGAAAGATTGTTAACTGCTTATTTAATCTCTGCGCTTTATTGACTCTTAGTTGATTTCTTACTGATATATTGTTTATTAATATATGTATTATTACTTATTATTATTAATATTTTTGATAAAATATTTATCTAAGAGGAATTAACGTTTTGCAGGGGTCGTATCAAGTGACAGCTTACAATATATCCTTAGCTGAATTCAACATCCCCATGTTCAACTACGGCAAGTACAAGATGATCAACCAGATCTATAAAGATGGCGTCATGGTCGGCTGCATTGGAATGGTTCTAGAAGCCACTCCAAAGAGGAAGAAGCTCTCAAAGAAGAGGCCTTGAATTTAATATCGATTAATATGTTGAATATACAAATGACCATATCTAATATTAATTGAGATTTTTTAAAAATAAACAATATGCTTGAGATTTATGGTTTCTTTTTTTTTTTTTTATAGAAAATATAGGTATTTTCAGAAAAAGGTATGTGAACGAAAAAAACTACTGGCGGTACAAAATATTATTAAAACAATTAATTACCATATGTTTTTTGTAAAGTAATATTAGTGATTTTTGTCACTATTTCATTTTACGAGTTAATTATTTATTTAATTATAATAAATAATTAACTACCATGAAATAGCTTTAATCTGAATTTAATCTCCCCTCTCCCTCTTGTTTTCAAGTGTAATAACGCATTTTTTCGATTTATGGTTTATAGCTGAATACTCGAGAATCAAATTATTTAGAGTCGATTGCATTTTCTTTCCTTCTTAACCCAAAATAATGTGACTAAAAAAAATAAAGGTAAATTTTACAATTGTTTGAATCGATTAATGTAAAATAACGCATGCCGATTACTTAATGAATTTAATTAATAAGCACTTCATTTATTCAGGTTTTACTCGCGTTTTCTCTTACTCCCGATTCTACTCGAATATGAGTATAGACAAGATCGATTTTTTTTTTTCACGATTTAAATATTCATATGCGTAAAATGATGGTTATATTTTATTAATCCAACAATCATTGGAATGGGACATGTGGAATATATGGAATATGTAATTGGTGCTAAAAAAAAAGAAGCAAAAAAATGCTGTTGTGACGCCGTTCTTGAATAAATTCTGCAAAGAGAGATTCTGAATTCAAATGTTTTTAGTAGTTTGAAAAAGGTTTATTTATTGATACATCAACTGTTCCTCGAAGATTCGATCGTTTTGAGTTTTCATAATTGTGGATTGATGGTTGAATATAGTGAATTATTGAAGAAAAGATTATTGGGGTGTTCAGTAAAAAATATTTAAAAATAAATTAGTAATTTATTTTTATTTTTACCGAGATTTCGGCCCAAATTTCAGGCCTTCAACAGCGCTAAGGAAAAAACAGTTAACAATAGGCACGATAAACTATTAATATAAAAAAATAATATGTAGATGAAAGATATAGTCTTAAAACATCTGCCAAGTAAAGTCAGTATAGCTTCCTCACCATTTTCATTGGCTAAAATATATCTATATTACAGAATCTAAAAGCTTTCGTATGGAATGAAATCTCAGAAATAAGCTACACGGTGGGCCAGATCCCCTTACCATGCACCCCTCCCCCCCCCACATCCCTATAAATTGCATATCGTTGTGTTCCTTGTAACAATTTATTAAAAAAAAGCCAATGTTCCCACAAAAAAAAGTGAACGCACTGCCCCAAAATGGCGTCCAAAGATGGCGGATTGACGACTTTGACTTTAGTTAGTTTTTTGGTCACTGAGAATCAGCATTTGGCTTAATTTCCTCATAGTTGGTCTTTTATTAAAGCTGAATAGTCATAGAATAATGAAACATGAAGAAATATAAAAAAATAATTGGCTTAGGCTATGAAAAACACCAGTAAAGTCAACTTTTTTAACAAAAAAATTTTCAAGTTACAAATCAAGCGTCGTTTGTAATTAAACGGTCTACAATAACGCAAAACGTGCTGAAATAAACCATCTGGAGAATATATTTCTCTTTCTAAAACGCTGATTACTTTTTAAAATATTTGAAGCAGTTCCGTAGAAAATACACTTATGCGGCAGAAAAGCGGTACTGGCGTGGGTGCATACAGGCCTCTATGAGCGATAACTTTCTCGATATAACTCTCTATATCCTGCTTCAAAGTGTAGATAGTCCCAATGTGCACCTTCAGCAATCGAAAATAAAGTGGTTTTCACCATAATAAACATACATCGTCCACTTAATGTCATCCAAACTGCATTTGAACCCCTTTTAGCAACATCTTGAAATATTCTCTTCATCTGTCTACTATACATTCGTTTAGCCATATAATGGATACTGGTCCTTTTTATCTTTTCCGAGGTTTTGGCACTTCCTTTCTCGTTCGCTTAATGTGTTTTTCCAATTTTCTGGTTCAATTTCGCGCTTTTCTCATTTTGAGACCAAAAACAAACAATCAGTTCTGGTTTATAGAAGAACTTATAGCGCCACCCTTTCTATCTTTCTTTGTGCAGAGAGAATAATTCATTCAATGTTAAAATTTCCTATTTATTTATGATATAGTCCAACTTCCGCACAAAATAAAGGAAATAAAATTTAATTTTTTAATGAGTGATATATGAGTTCTACTAAACAACCCGCCAGCTATTCATTATATATAGTTCAGATTAGGTATATATTATTTTAGTTTATAAAAAAGGTATTAATAAGACTCATTTCCTGGGAAGTATATAAAAATTTTAATTACCTCTAAGATTCAGTAAATATACAAAACACAGTGTTAAATTGCAAACGTTAAATAAAAAAAAATCAAGATATTTAGCAAAATATTTTTTTATTAAGTTTTATTATTATAATTATATCATTTTTACAATTGAGGTCTTCTTAAACGACCTACGTATAGAATAAAGGAGGTTAAATTAAAAAAAAATAATAATATTTTTTTTTATTTTAATTTTTTTTTACAGTTAAATTATTGCATTAATATTTGTTCGTTAATAAAACCAATATAATGTACCAAAAATGTTATTATATCACTGTAACTAAGCCATTTATGTGTACTGAATGGTGTGGTAGAGGCCTGTAGGCACCCACGCCAGTACCGCTTTTCTGCCGCATAAGTATATTTTCTACGGAACTGCTTCAAATATTTTAAAAAGTAATCAGCGTTTTAGAAAGAGAAATATATTCTCCAGATGGTTTATTTCAGCACGTTTTGCGTTATTGTAGACCGTTTAATTACAAACGACGTTTGATTTGTAACTTGAAAAATTTTTTGTTAAAAAAGTTGACTTTACTGGTGTTTTTCATAGCCTAAGCCAATTATTTTTTTATATTTCTTCATGTTTTATTATTCTATGACTATTCAGCTTTAATAAAAGACCAACTATGAGGAAATTAAACCAAATGCTGATTCTCAGTGACCAAAAAACTAACTAAAGTCAAAGTCGTCAATCCGCCATCTTTGGACGCCATTTTGGGGCAGTGCGTTCACTTTTTTTGTGGGAACATTGGCTTTTTTTAAAATAAATTGTCACAAGGAACACAACGATATGCAATTTATAGGGATGTGTGGGGGGAGGGGGAGGAGGTGCACGGTAAGGGGGTCTGGCCCACAGACTAAGCCGTTTTATGAAATTAAGTAATCCCTCAACATATACGGGCTCTACGAGTTTTGTTTATCAGGAAATACTGAAATGCGAAAATCTTCAGCATTTGCAGATTGCATAATTGATGATTCGTAATTTAAAAAAAAATCCAGTGCATACTGAATATGTATATCGCTATTATTAGTGAAAAAGATCGTATGTAAAAATTGAGTGTTTTACAGAAGAGCTTAAAAACTAATTATTTCTTTATGATTTATTAGTATCATTTTATATTATTGCCCTCTGATAATTTTCATAGTAATAGACTACTTATAACAACTACAGGACTATATAATGTAAAAAATAGAATAAAAATTTAAAACTTTTACATACGATCTCTTCCACTAACAGTAGTGATATATATACTTAATAAGTATGGTTTCACTCGTAAAATTCAGCTTTTTTAATACAATATACAATTATTTTTTAAAATATAACCCTAAAGTTTCCCAAAACGAAATTAAATATGAACCATTAATATAACCTAATCAATAAATGCAATTCACCCACCACTAGCGGATCCAGGATTTAATTTTTGGGGGGGGGGCTTCAGTCCGAAACCTTTTTTTTTCATAAAAATAATGATAATTACTTTGAAAAAACAAAAAGAAACCAACTACCTACATGAAATGGTGTTTAAGTTATTCCTTAAGTACTATTAAATGTAATTACACGAAGAATAATACTTTAAGAGGTATTTTTAAAAAACATTTCCCATAAAACATGGTTATATTTTTCCATTTTGGGGGGGGGGCTTCAGCCCGAAAGCCCCCCCGTAGATCCGCCCGTGTCACCCACTGAATGAAGCTTATGCGAATTGTTTTCAATTGGGTTAGCGTGATTTTAAGATACGCTACATTAAAGTGGATTGCAATTAAAACAACATGTAGTATAAAGCATTTTATTAATTTACCAAGATACAACAGATAGCAAGGCAATTGTATGAGTTTTTGAAACAGTGCACGCTTACTAAAATTGCTACTATATTTCTCAAACTGAATATGTTTTATTCATCTAATTGAACTCTCGCATCAGATTCAGGTAGGAATATGCTGTGCTGGATATCTATAAAAAAATTATAAAATTTAAAAAAAGCTGGAACAATAGTAAATACCTTAATAATATTATAATAATGTAGAAAAATATAAAAGGAAATGACTAAGAATTACAATAATATTTATAACGATATGATCATATAGATCTCTTTTGTAACTCTCAGAAGTGATAAATCATAATGAATGAGGTATCAAATGAAAGGGGAATTTCATGGAGAAGTGATGAATGCCAAATTCGATCCTGCTACAACTTTAATAAAAGTGGACGGCGGGGTGGTCGAGCGGGCACAGTGTGCACAGCACCGCCCTTGCCTGATATATAAGATAATTGATAGAAATAATTACAAGTTCGCGTCCCGGTGCCGAGGAGGGCTTTTAACTTAGACATTAATCTCCTGCTGTCATCTCTTGGCTTGGTTTTCGCCCCGCATAACCTAAAACGCGTGGGAGGACGAAAAAAACAAACAAAAAAAAACTAGGGTGTGTGCTTTAGACCACACGATCAAAGTGAAAGTATCAAGGCAAGATTAATAATATGAAATACTGATATTTCCCTCGCTAACAATATGCAGATCCGGTTTTAAGTTTTTGAGATATTTTAATCTTTACGCAAAATCACTTCGACTCTAGCCGACTTTACTCGAGCGTTACACAACGGAGATCTAACGTGTCAATCTAATTCACTCTCCATAAAAAAAGTACAAAACGCACCTAAAGAAGTTTAAAAAAAAACTATA